ATCAAAGACCCAAAAGCAGCAGAGAGCGATTATTAAAATTCATAAAATCATGATTGTGTGTTGGGCTTTAATGGGCCTTGTAAAATATCAGCAGGTTACTAATGAGCCTCGAATGGAGGCAGAAGAAAAGATATCAACGAAGATGGAAATTAACAACACAGAAAAATTTCTTAATTTATGAATCGGAACAGTTTCAATCTGAAAAATATGATTTTAAGATTTTTATTATTTTTCGACGACGAAGACCACCGAGTTGCCTTCCAATTCGATTTTTTCTTATTAAAGGTTACGAAACAAAGTTGAAACTTTCTCACGGAAATCAATTTAAAGCGACAAAAGTTCGCACTTTCTTGGAGTTGTGTAAATTTTGTTACACTTTTCATTCATTAATGAGTTTGGTCGTCATTAAAGTTTTGGAGATTGGAAATGACATAAAGACTAACCCGAGCGGCACACACTCGCCGTGCCGGAGGCATACGTTTGCACTACGACGATTTTTAGTTGGCACTTCCTTTGGCTTTTCCTTCAGAAATCAGCGAAAATAACCGAGGTATCAATTTACCACTAACAGTTGACGCTACGGTGCTTCCCCACATGCCATTAACTCTAAATAAGGCTACCATAAGGCAGCTTAAGAAATTCTTCACTAGTCCAACACATAACTAACTTAAGGTGATAGAATTAGGCGATAGCCTGTAGTTTTTAGCCAAATGTCTTTCATATGGCGGATTCTAAAGGAAAGCCTTCCCATTAAATGGAGACGATACTCGTATGCCAGATTTGTGAGAGACATCGCCTTTTGTGCCGCTCGGGTCAGCTTTTTCTTTGTAAACTTACTAATGAACAATTGTTTTGACATTTCATATAGAAGTTTTAAACTGATAATAAATTTTCTGAAGTGTATTCACCGGTGTTTCACCTTATTGTTATTGATGAATAATATTGGCACTGGGTAAATATTCTTAAATTCATGAAAATTTATCAGAAATTTTTGATAAACTTTTCGAAAGCTGCTGAAAGGTAGTTGCACTTATATATAACATCGAATATATGTATGTCTTCAGTTCAAAAGCTTCTTTAATGATTCTTTATTGGGATTTCATTTTCAGAAACCATAAATCAAGAAATTTGATGCAAAAGAACTTAAGGTATTAATAAATAAAAAAAATTAAACATTTTCTTTTCCAAAAATTGTATCAAATTGAGTTAAACATTCTGGTCTATTTGGTCACATTTTTTAAAAAGAAATATTTTTATGCCTTACAACATCTTGAATAAAGAGCCTGCCAATAATATCTAAAAAGTTTATTGTATATTATTTTTGTGTTCATCTTCTTGTAAGAGAATCTTGTACAAATTTCTTGATTTATTTCATCTTATTGAAAAAAAAAATGCATTCGAGCTTTTTTTCAATTATTGAATAGATACTATATTCAAAGTAATTTTGGATAAACATTTTATTATTGACTATCAACTTCTGAGCGTGAACGCTTTTGCCTGTTCGTTACACTGCCAGTGAGGTTTCCTTCTTCTATAAACCCAGAATAATTATTCAAAATAAATCAGTTCCTTCTCAGACTCAGAAAAAAGAGCTTTAAATATTATTTAACTTCTAAACAAAACTAATGCTAGGTCGTAAACCTTAACAGAAAAGATTTCCTAAAAGTTTGTCATACAAGATTTTTGTATTAAATTTCTTGTAAGAGATTCTTGTGCAACTTTCTTATTGAATTTTAAAAATGTTCAAACGAAAAATGCATAGAAATTAATTCCACACAAACATTTTCACAAACGGCGGTTTGAATTATGATTATTCTATGGAAGAAACTTTACGTCCTATGATGTCCATTATGTTTTTTCTTGTGTTTTTGTCTTTGTCCAAGTCCTTTTCCACCGATATGTTCTTTTCTTTTGTGATTTCCTATGCAAATAATAAAAGATTTAATTCAAAATATTTGTTTACCGTAATAGGTAAATCGATTACTTTTGTGAACAGGCTGATTTTTTCTATCTTCTTCGGTCATGAAAGCTTGAATACCACGAACTTGATCACTTGGCAAACCACTCACATTGTCAAGAGCCTTGGCATTTGATTCTCCATTAATAATAAAAACTGAAGAATTTTTATATAATTAAGCACTTTTAATAATAATAAATGAAAATCCAAAAATATTCTTACAAATTAAAAAGAAACTTGCAACGATTACAGTTTTTAACTTCGGCATTTTCCAAATTCAACTCACAAACGTAAACAAAATATCAGTTCCTTTATCTACTCGAAAACCTTGTGATTTGTTTTATTACTTCATCGTGATCATTTTATTTTCCATTATATAGAACTAGTCGTGCTTCGTGAGACTATCTTGTTCACAAGTCGTCTATATTAATTTAGACTAAAT